AACATCCTCAAAAATAGTCAATATGAACTATTCCTAATTTCTTTCTCAAATTAAAGAATTTGTCAATCTTCAATCCTTTGGTGAAAATTTCGGCCAACTGTGCTTCACTCGAGCAATGCCTTACTTCAAGTTCACTTTGGTTTTCCTTTTCCCTCAAGAAGTGAAACTTTACTTCAATATGTTTACTTCTTCCATGCATAACTGGATTCTTCAATAGATTTATGGCTGACTTGTTATCGATTTGCAATACAAGAGGTTTCTTCACTTCGACCTTCATTTCTTCAAGTATAGATCTGATCCAATTTGCTTGACATACAACATAAGATCATGCTATATATCCAGCTTCACAAGATGATAATGTCACCACCGGTTGTTTCTTCGAACAACATGAGATTGGGGTACCAAATACTTGAAAGAAATATCCATTTGTGCTTCTTTGATCTTCCTTATCTCTACATCAATCAACATCTGAAAAACAATTAACTATTTCTTCTTTGTCTTCAGAATCTCGTCGAAATAGTATTTCACAGTTTATCGAACCCTTCAAATATCTCAGGATTCTTCTTGTAGCCTTCATATGTGACACACTTAGTTCACTCATATATTTGCTTACTAATCTGACTGTGAAACCTATATCAGGTCGACTGTTGCACACATACCTCAGAGATCCCACAATTTGCTTAAAAAAAGTTGCATCGACTTTGTCTTCCTCTCCATTCTTCACCAACTTCACATTTGGTTTGACATGTGAGGATGCAGGATTTGAATCATCCATTCTGAATCTCTTGAGTATCTCTTTGACATACTTCTTTTGATGTAGCACCATTCCTTGCTTCGACATTTTAAATTCCATACCTAGGAAATAAGACAATTTTTCCAGATCCGACATTTCAAATTCCTTCGTCATTAGCTCCTTGAACTTTGACAAGTTCTCTAAACTATTTCCAATTACTAGCAAGTCATCGACATATAAGCAGATGATTGTTATATCTTATGCTACAACCTGAACATAGACACCAAGCTCTGATTTACATTTGACAAATCCCAATTTAACTAAGTATGAGTCGATCTTCTTGTTCCATGCCCTAGGTGTCTGCTTGAGGCCATAGAGCGCTTTGTACAATCTATATACTTTACTCGCTTCCTTCTGAATCACAAACTCTGGAGGTTGTGTGGCATAGACCTCTTTGTCTAAAGGATCATTTAGAAATGCTAATTTCACATCTAAATGAAATTTCGACCAGCCTTGGTTGCATGCCAATGATACCACTAGTCTAACAGTCTCCAATCTTACGACTGGAGAAAATACTTCAGAGTAGTCGAGTCCTGCTCTTTGAAGAAAACCTCGAGCTACTAATCTTGATTTATGTCTTGTTGTCGACCCATCTGCATTGTGTTTCAACTTGAACACCCATTTTACTTCGATAGCTTTTGTATGTACTGGAAATTCCACTAACTCCTATGTGTTATTTCTTTAGATTGCCTGTAACTCTTTGACCATAGATAACTTACACTGTTTATTCTTCAAAGCTTCACTATAGTTAATTGGTTCAGCACCTGCAAGTAAAGAAAAGTGAACTAATTCTCCATCTGGTGTGACTTCATCATCACCAACCACTTCATAATCATGAAGTATTGTTGGAAGAACTCTATTTCTTTGAGGTCTTTGGCTTGTTTCAGCCACAGTCTCTTCGACTTCGACTGTGTCGGGAATGTCAACAACTGTTTGTTCTTCGACTTTGAATGGATTCTCAACAATTCCTTCGACCTCTACTTCATCAGTTTCTTCATCGAAATCAGAACTCATCAATGGCTTGTTAATTGAATTGTTAGAATTCTAATCCTAGGCATAATTTTCATTAATCACAATATCTCGACTCAACACAATCTTCTCATTAACTGGATTGAATAGTCTGTATGCACCAATTTTATGATATCCTACCAGAATCATAGGTCTACTTTTGTCATCAAGTTTCCTTCTTCTTTCATTAGGAACATGCTTGTAACACATAAAGCCAAACACCTTCAAATGACTTACTGATGGTAGTTTGCCACTCTACACTTCTTCAGGAACCTTGTTCTTTAATATCTTAGTAGGACACCTATACAAAATATAAATTGTAGTCGAAATAACTTCCTCTCATAAAGACTTTAGCAAATTCTTTTGCTTCAGCATGCATCTTGCCATATCTAATATTGTTATGTTTCTTCTTTCAACAATTCTATTATGTTGAGGTGTATGAGGAGAAGTTACCTCATGATCAACACCATGTTCTACACATAAATCTTCAAACATCTTGGATGTGTATTCGCCACCTCCATCTGTTCGCAGAACTTTGATCTTTTTTCTCACTCTGGTTTTTGACAAGTATCTTGAATCTCTTAAAGATTTCAAATACTTCGTCCTTTCGTTTGATCACATAGATCCACGACTTTCGACTAAACTCATCGACAAACGAAACAAAATATATGTTTCCACCAATTGTATGTTCTTCGAATTGACCACATACATCTGAATGTACCACTTCGAGTATGCAAGATTATCTCATTGGCATAGTCGAAACGAAAGAATTTCTGGATTACTTTCCTACTAAATAACTTTCACAAAGTTTTTCAGGCATCTCAAGATTTGGAATACCAGTAACCATATCTTGAGTAATTAGTTGATTAAGTGATCGAAAGTTCAAATGTCCAAATCTCAAATTCCATAACTAACTATCCTTGTGATCGACAATAATTTTCAAACATTGAAATTTTGTCGAACTGATCATAGTCTTAAATGTCATGTTCTTCTACAACGGAGATTTTAAGACCAAATTGTTCTTGGTGTCGAACAATTTCAAAATTCCATCTTTCATGACAATTGAGAAAACTTTCTCGACTAGTTGTCCAACACTTAGCAAGTTGCACTTTATTCTAGGTACATAGAGCACATCTTTAATCATAGCTTTCCCTCCATTACTCATTTGAAAAACTATGTTGTCAGTACCTTCTGCTTGGGACAAACTACTATCAACAAGTTTTACCTTGCTCTTCTTTGACTCGTCAAAATCTGCCAACCACTCCTTTTGACCAGTCATGGGGTTCGAGCAACTTGAGTCGAGAAACCAGATCTTGGATTCGACATGGTTATCTGCAACTGCAGCCATAACCACCATACCACCTTTAGAATTATCTAAATCTTAGCGTGCAAGGTTCGCTCATTCTTCCTTGCCAGTCGATCCCTTGTCTTTTCTGTACCAACAATTCTTGACTACGTGACCCTATTTTTCATAGTTATAGCACTGCATACCTTTTTATTTTATCTTTTTTTCCCTTTCAATAGTTTCCTCCTCCTCCTTTCGAGGACTCTGAAGCTCCATCTTCGTCCTGATGCTTGTAAGGTTTCGACCAAGACTTCTTTCCTTGAGTCTTGTCGAACTTGCCTTTGAATTTGTTTGAACCACCATCCTTTTTTCATGACTGAGCTTGCAGATCCTGTATCGAGTCGTGCACTCCTTTCCTTTCGACAATCCTCATCTCATGCGCCTCCGACGAACTAACCAAATCTTCCACTTTAATGGTTTCAAGATTGTTAGATTCTTGAATAGCTACGATAACGTGATCAAAGTGAGAGGTCAACGTTTTCATTATCTTCTCAACTATCATCTTATCAGTTATGGTTTCACCACAACCCTTTATGAGATGGACGAGTTTTTGAACCTTCGACACATATTCTGCAACTTTTTCATCTTCTCCCATCGACAACAACTCATATTGTCGATGTAAGGTTTGTAATTTGACAACCTTGACTTTCTCACCTCCTTCGTAATACTTTACCAGAATATTCCATGCCTCTTTCGTTGTTTCAGCATGAGAGATTCTGTCGAAATTAGCAACATCGACCACCGTTTGAATGCAATAAGCAGTCTTGTAATCTTTCTTCTTGACTTTATTGTGGACTTTTTTCTGTTCGTCGGTTGCATTTGTAGCCAACGCAGGAACATCGTCAGTAACCACTTCTAGAGTTTCTTGGAAGCCAAACAAGGATTGCATCTGTTTTTTCCATCATATCAAATTCTTGCCGTCAAGCATTGGAAGAGAATTCAGAATGTCCTTATCACTAGCCATCTTCGCAGCGGTTGATTCACTTGTCCTAGAAACACGATCTCTAACGTGAAATTCTTGAAAACTCGATCAAGAACAATAACCCCAAGCTCTGGATACCTATTTGTTAGTGCGTGAGACACTTTTAGTGAAGAGAGAAAGAGAGAATAATAAAGAAAATAAAGATTTGTATTATTGAATTGTACAAATAATGATACAGACTAGAACTATTTATATATACAACCCTAATTTGGCTTGAGTCTACACAATTTAAATTATATTTAAATATTAAATCTAATCAAATCAAATCAAATATAATATTTTAGCAAATATAATTTAATATTTTAACAATGGGAGAAGTGGGTTAAGAGGCCTATAAAGATTGATATCTAGTTTTTTAAATTGTTTTTAGTATCGTCTGAAATTTTGAATTATGTATAAATGTGATAGAAAAACCTTATCTTACAAGCTAGCTTTTGACATGAAATCCAATTTCATTTAATATAATAATAGAGTAATGATCTCCTCCTAGAAGCACAATTCTGCTGCATTCTTCATAAAAAATTAACTCACTTATTTTTTTATTGTCGTTTTCTTTTCCTTCTCTAGTTTATCTTTTCTTTTCCTCAAAAATCAAATTTTCCTTTTCTCATTTTATTTTGTCTCTTTAGTCATCTCTAGAAAATCCAAATTCATCATTCTGCTATGATACCATGTGACCACACTATAAAGGTAAGGATTTTATAAGACAACAAACTACCATATTTAAGCTTATAATCTATGCTATGAGTTTTTCAGTTGCAAAATCAATCTAAAGTTAAACTTCCATTAAATGTTATAAAAAAAAAGCTATATGGTATATAGTACAGTTCAGAGATAAGAAAATTAAAGGAGGTATTTAGTAGAATAATTACCTGTGTATTTGTAGCCTTCTTCCCCACAATCTTTAAAAAGCATAAACTGGGCATAATCACTGACTGAAAAAGTTGTCCATTCTCCAAATTAGATGAGTTTCATAGAATTTCCATTTAACAAACTGGAGCATTTACAGTAAAAGAAAGCACAATGGACTATAGACAAATCTAGTTCATGTTAAATTTGCTCCCAATACCCTTATTATACAGATAGATAGTTGTTTTATTATATATACTGCAAAAGATTATTATAGTAAGAGGTAGTTAATTAAGTTAGTTATTGTAGTTATGAAGTTTTTTAGGAGCTATGATTGTATAGAACAAACCTACCATAACTATTCTCATATGTTAACAATGCTGCCACAAGTTCAACCACAAACACCAAGTTATTCAGTTTATTATGTGCATCCAAGCGATGGTCCTAACTCAGTTACAATTGCATAAAAACTCGAAGGCAACAACTATGCAGTTTGGAGCAGATCCTTGCGCTTAGCCCTTGAAGTTAAGAACAAACTTCTAATCATTGATGGATCCATCACCCTTGCACATATCGCTAAATAATCCTCAAGAGCCAAACATGGATCCATCAACCTTTGGCATATCTAGGAACTTCATGAATATTTTATTAGGAAATTGGGTTCCATTATCGGTCACAATGACTTCTGTAAGATGTTTCTTTTATAGAGCATGGGAATGACTTGCGTCCAATAATGTATCTCTTTAAGGTGAAGCTTCCGGGCAGCAACATGAAATGCGCTGGCTTCCACCATCTTTTGGATAGACTAAGTGCAATGTAGATACAGGTTTTAACAATAATTGCGGGACTTCAAATCGTTGTTGGTGTAATCGTGATAACTCAGGAAACTTTTTTGTAACAAGCTATTCAACAAGCAATAACTATGAACGTTGATCATATAATTTTTTTAAGTGATTCCCTTCGAGTGGTGCAAGCCGTTCAGGCCAAATCCATAGGAGTGTCGAAGTTTTCTACTATTATTAAAACTATTTAGTTGCTATTAGTTAATTTTCCATGAATTAGCCGCTTACTCTAATATACCTTGTCATGAACCAACTATCCTATTAATGCTTAAATTGATATGGGAAGACATTATCAATTTATAATAAAATTAGGACCAAAAAAATTGTAATTGCTTACCACAAGCATACTGAAGAGAGAACCGATCAAAGCCATCACAAGTCCTGAAATTATCAAACAAATATATTAGATTAGGCATTCAAGTCATATTGTCCTCAATGAGTTAGGCACAATCCAAAACTTTAAGTGAAGAATTCCCTTAAATGAACATGAACACATATCATAATATCCCCGCCTAAAAAACACATAAACGAGCAAGAATATATATTGTTCAGTGAAGAATTGTAAAACTTACCAAAAAACGGAATCAGAAAAGCCGCACAAACCGTAGATGCAACAAGTAGTGTTCTAAGAAGAAGAAAACACCAATAAGTACTTGAAATTCTTTCTGGCAGCAATTCCTCTAGACACCTTGCCAGTGGATTCATCAACAAAGCATATTTGTTAATTATTAAGGAAAAGTAAACCTCAAGTTATTGCTAAATTGGATTAAACCATCTCCAATTGTTTGCTATATAGTAAAATTCATTGTATGCAAAAAGGATATTTAGTGAATGGGTTAATTACCTGAAAAAATATCATGCAAAACAAGATCAGGAATAAGTAGTTTGTTCTCTAGAATGAAACTATTAAAATAGCATCAACAAAACCTCAAACTTACTGTTGTCCACAATGCAACTTTGGAAGCAAATGCACCTGCAGGCATATTCAATGTTATCTGAGACAAAGTGGTATCGCCAAATGTGAGAAATCCCATCACTGCGACGCTTCCGTATATCAAAATACACAAAGCAAAACTGTACAGAAAGAAATGGGTTCAGCAATCAGAGATTTATAATGAACAAATTGAACAAAGTTAGGTATCAAACCATGTTATCAATGCTTTGGTATATTGTTTTTTGTTAGCCATAGACTGGTAAATATTTGGAAAAACTGAATGTCCTGCAAAGCAAAACCCATAGACACCAATAGAAAATGGAATGCCACTCCAATTCACCACTGGACCAGAATGATGGAATCCAACGGTTGTCCCGACCGATATCACACAGATAATAATCAATATTGTTGCTACAATCCCTCCAACTGAAGATCAAAAAAATTGAAGTTCTAATGAGGATAAAGTAAGTTGTAAAGTTTGAAAGTGTGAAAGTTTGAAAGAAGAAATCATTTCTTTTAGAATTTAGAGAACCTGATAGATACGAGATTACTCGGAGATCCTTCAACCAAACCGTAGGGAGAACAATAAGTGCAGTAAGAACTCCAAACAAATGCATTGAATCTAAATGGAGACCGCCTAAATCTAAGGATGTTCCAGGAAATAGACTAGTGAGGTTATCTCCTTCCAAGGTGATGAATTCCACACAATATGACTGCACTCATGAAAAGGTTCTTAAACATTCAGTCACAGAACAAATCGGATCCAAAGAAAATGTAGAAAACGATTCCCATCACTTACATATAACTCAGTGTACAAAATGATCTGCAAAAAATATAGTAGTAAACAGTGATTAATAATTCATTGATGTATTCACATTCTGAGTAAAGATATAGAAAAACTCACAGATACAAAAATACGGCCATATCTACCGAATGCAGCTTCTCCAATATCTGGGTAGCTAATGAGTCCTTCTCTACTTTCAAAGCACTGTCTCATAAGCGAGGCTGTATAACAACAAACAACTGCAAAAAGAGTCATCACCAAGATGCTCACCCAACCAGCTTGTTTCACTGTATAAGGTGCAGATATAAGGCCAACTCCAACCATCACATTAATCCCTGAAAATTCATAGCATCACCTCATAACCCCTCTCATAGCGAAGGAACATGCACATGTGAAATAAAATTGCATACCATTGAAAATTGTTTGAGTGAAGCTGCAACCATGACCAAGAGGCGTTTCTCCATCAAGATTTTGCGTTGAACCTTTCTCATGACCGGATAGAAACAGAGATTTTTCATCTATGTCTGAGTTACTCTTTGAACGATTGCCAAAACTTGAGTAAATAAAACTTGGTCGTCGTAGAAATGATCCAAAACTCGGGGCAGTAGCAATTGTGTAAGAATCTGTAGTCTCTCTAACAACAATAGAACCATGCAGATGCAGTAGTAAGTTTTCAAAGTAAAGGCAAACAAACAAAAGAAAAAGAAAATGGTGAAAGAAGATTATACTTGTAACTTTGAGGCCATTGGTTGGAAGTGAAAGAGTGAGGTTGAAATGCATGGTTACCATCATCATCCTCGTCGTAATTATCATCACTGCTACCACTGTCTGTCTCCTCTACCTTTACAGTTTCGATATCATGTTCCTCTTCTACATCCTCCTCGTTAAACATAAACTCAATGTCTTTCTCCTCTCTCTCTTTATTGCTGCTAGCCATGGTTTTTCTCAACAAAAACTGAAAGAGAAGACAACAAAGTGAGTCCTATAATAATGCACATATGTATTTATTACTCGTTCTCTTCCAAAACTACTCTTTTCCACACAAAAAAAAATGTTATTGTCATAAAATATTATATTTTATAATGTAGAAATTAAAAAATACAAGACACAGTTAAAAAAACAGTAACTATTAGTACGTTGTCATTTTAAACTGGAGGGACCGATAGCGATATTATACTTATAAAATTGTTGATGATTCGACAATGGCAACATGTGAGTGGGACATAAACATGTGACAGTAGAGAAAAGACCAATGAAAGGAAAATGAGAAGACAGTGAGTGGATGTTATCGTATATGAAATCATAGAAATTATCCAGAATAGGGATGAGATGAAGATGGCAGAACAAGATTGGAAGTACGCACAACGTGGCACTTGCCGTGTTCTAATTGTTTTGATTCATTGGATCTATGTCACAGCTTGGTTACTTACACATACTATCTCGAGAGTATCTCTACATCAAATAATGTTATTTCAAATTTTGTTTTATGTTTAGGTGGATCATTTATAACTAATATTTTATAATTTATCATGATACTACTTAATAAACAATCAATTTACCAACTGACCCCTTAAAAAATTAATTAATTTTTTCCCTTATAGTTATTTGATTTGTTTCAAATTAAATATTTCATTCAAGTTTTACATATTTTTTTAAGAAAATGTTTAATTAGTTTGATTTCCACAATAAAATGAATATTATTTATTAAAAGTTAGGATCACATGGACCTTTAAAATACAAGGGCATCAAAATTATTTTTTTATAAATTATAAATTTAAAATAAATATATAAGTCTTATTTGTTTAACTTAATATGTAATATAAATTAATTAGTGTAATGATAAATAAGTTTATTTTTGATTCAAAAGTCAATGGTTCGACTCTAATATCTATATTTTTACTATTTAAATATATTATTTTATTAAAAGAAAATGTTAAAATGTGATTTTGTTGGAACAAAAGATTCAAGAAAGATGAATATTGTGAAAAATAAGAAGAAGAAGAAGAAGAAGAAGAAGAAGAAGAGAGAGAGAGAGAGAGAGAGAGAGAGGAGAGAGAGAGAGAGAGAGAGGAGAGAGGAGAGAGACGAGAGAGAGAGAGAGAGAGAGAGAGAGAGAGAGAGAGAGAGAGAGAGAGAGAGAGAGAGAGAGAGAGAGAGAGAGAGAGAGGAGAGAGGAGAGACGAGAGAGAGAGAGAGAGAGAGAGAGAGAGAGAGAGAGAGAGAGATTGAGTTAGTTAGTGTAACTAACTCTTAAACTGAAACTTTTATTATTATTACCTGCAGTTATGTGGATTACAAAGTAATGACCCTTTATATAGGCAACATGCCCAGACCCACATACAAGCTAAAGCCCAAATAACAACTAACAAGAATTAACCAACTAACACCCCCCCCCCCCTTAATTCATGTTATCAAGACTTCTCATCCCAGTGCCTTTCTTTAACTCTTCGAATCTCACTTTCTTCAGAGGTTTGGTGAATGTGTCAGCTAGTTGCACTTCTGTCTTGTAATGTTCTATTTCAAGCTTCCCTTTGTTTACTTGGTCTCTCAGAAAATGGTACCTTCGTTCAATGTGCTTACTTCAATCATGACACATTGGGTGATTCACAAGATTTATTGCTGACTTGTTATCAATAAATAGCTTCATCTTCGATTTCATTATTCTGAGTTCTTCAAGTAACATTTCGATCCATGCTGCTTGGCGTGCAACATATGATGCAACCACATATTCTGCTTCGCATGAAGACAATGCCACAATGCTTTGCTTCCTCAAACTCCAGGAGATTGTAGCTCTTTCGATCATGAAAATGTACCCTGCAATACTCTTTTTTTCATCTTGATCTCCACTGAAATCCGAGTCAGTGTATCCATGCACTTCAACCTCTGTACTGTTCTTCGATCCTTTTGGCAACAGTTCCCTTGATGTATCTCAACACCCTCTTTACTGTAATGATATGACATTCCTGAGGCTTTTCCATAAATCTGCTCAACAATCCTACACTTTGGCAGATATCTGGTCTAGTATTGCAAAGATACCTCAATGATCTAATGATTTGTTTGTAAAGGGTCAAACTTACAAACTCATCATTCTATTCTTTCTTCAGCTTTGCTCCAGTCTCTAATGGAGTAACAACTGCCTTACAGTTGCTCATATTGAACCTCTTCAATATATCTTGAGCATACTTCACTTGATGCAAGAAAACTCCTCATTCGATGTCTGCCAAATTCCATTCCCAGGAAGTAGGAAAGATTCCCTAAATCATGCATTTCGAATTCCTGCATTAACTTTGACTTTACCTTCATTATCTCGGCTTCATCTGCTCCTGTAATGAGTAAGTCATCAACATAGAAGCATAAAATGATTCCATATGCTCTTTCGACATCATTTACACGCACTCTATGTTCAGAGACACACTTTGTGAACTCTGCTTCTATTAGGAAGCTATCTATCCTTTTATTTCAAGCTCTAGGAGCTTGCTTCAAGCCATAGAGAGCCTTCCTCAATCTGTAAACCTTCGACTCCTGCCCTTTGACATCGAAGCCTGGTGGTTGAGTCACATAGACTTCTTCTTCCAGAGGCCCATTCAAAAATGTTGACTTCACATCAAGTTGGTGCATTTTCCATCCTCTATATTCAGTTATCGAAACAACAATCCTGATTGTTTAGATCCTAGCAATAGGCACATACACTTCATCGAAGTCAATACCTCGTTGTTGTAGAAAACCTCTAGCCACCAGTCTTGCCTTGTACTTTGCAATCTCACCATATGGCCTTCATTTCACCTTGTAGATCCACTTCACATCAATTGGTTTCTTGTTGGTTCTTTCGACAAGCTCCCAAGTGTTGTTCTTCTCAATGGCTCTAAGTTCTTCTTTCATGGCTTCACACCAATTCGAATTGCTCAAGGCTTCACCCAAGTCAATTGGTTCTGCTTCGGCCGTCATCATGGCTTCTTCGATTAAGTCACCATCAACATCTATTATTTG